TGGTTAACCCCCAGCCAGTAACTAGGCACCACAACGTTGCTTACTCACTCTGCCGCCATCCCAGTCAAATGGGGGAGATAATCAGAGAAAAAAGGTAAGAGATCTTCTGAGTTGAGATAAGAACAGTTTTAAAATATTATTATTATTTTTAATATTATTAAGTGTGACCATCCAGCCAATTCCTTATCCACACAGAGTGGTCCATCCGTCAAATCCATGTCTCTCCAGTTTAGAGACAAGGATGTCTTGTGGGACAGTATCAAATGCTAAGGGACATGTAAGGGAATGTCCCTCAGCTTATCAAATAATTGCATATTTCTCCGGCTTTCACAGATGTAATTCCCATAGCAGACAACTTATCATTTAAAATGTTAGATATTATTAGTTTCAGAATAATTAATAAATTTTAAAAGGAATTGAGAAACTCTTTGAGTTTAATTGATTTTCATGGGAGGCTTGGCATAGAACTGATATCTATCAAATTTCTATGATCTGTACTTGTTTCTTTATGTTAGAAAGATATTATTTCCACTGCTTCACTTTGAGGTAGGATGGAAACTTATAAATTCCACAAGTTGTTTTTTTATGTTGTTTTTTTTTTTTTTTATTTTGAGACTTTAGGCTTTGAAAAAAAGCATCAGGCTCTTTCCTTAACAGAAGACCTAAAACTTACACAAGCACATTCTAGTGAATCTTGCATCATTATGTTCTGCATAGATATAGCCCCATCTCTAATCCTTTGTAAAGTTTCATCTCTTCACTTATGATTCCCTGAAAGGTTACCATGTTTTTCAGAGGAATAGGCTGAATTCAGTAAATTTTGTCTTTAAATTCAAATGTGAAATCAGATGTTGGAGATCAATGTTTACCATTGAAGCAAATCCTTTCCAGTGATCATAATTTATTTTTCTTTTAGATAAACAATTATACTTCTGATCACAGTTTTGTTGCAACTTATCTTTCAAGATAAGTTCCAGCACTTTCTGATCGAATTGTTTAAGACCATATAAAGAAAAAAACCTAGTAATAGCATTCTCAATTAGTATAAATACTCTTCAGTCATATGAAGTGCCTCTCTGTCATGCTGTCAACCTTAAAGAACTTAAAACTTGAAAATAGGAAATCTTCCCCTTTTACGAAGTTATGTAAATAACTTATAATACCTATGCCCTGGCAATCTATAATAGTCTTCAGCTCTCCCATCTACCCCTGTGTTGATGAGGCCAGGAAGAAATAATCTTCCAGAATCCTTTCTTTGCCTTTTTAAGATGATTCTGGTGCTGCCTACTGCGAGAGCAGGCTGAACTTGCAGACAGTGCGGCTTCAGCCTCCGTGCATGTGAACTGCAATGGTAGAATGGAGTTTTCTGAGTCTGAATGGGTCTGAATTGTCTGGAGTTCAGAAGTTATTAGGTACAACGTAGGTGCAATCAACAGGCCAGTTCCGTACTTCACATATATCTCTTCAAGGCCCAAAGTCACAAGAAAACTGTGTGCAAGATAGATGCTTATGTCTGCTTTTACAGTTCTCAAAACACCTGCTCAGCTGCAATGTAACACTAGACGTGACAAAAGATCTCTGTAATATTTTTTTGCACTTAAGTTTTTTTATGTACCTAAAATTCTGGTCCAAAGTTGTATCAGCACTGTGACTTCTGACAAATCTTTTCTGTGAACCAAGAGACACTGTCAAACCGGGCTTTCTCTGCCTTTCTCACTACAAAAGCTCAATCCAGAAACATTTCCAAGCGTATTTGCTTGATCACAATTTACAAAATCTTCTATACGAGCTGACACTTTTGTTTTTAGTCAACAAGAAGGTATCATCAAATAACTTCTGGATGACAGTTCATGAGGTTAGAGGATGCAGAAAACTGAGTTCAATTTATTTATTCTGTGTCAGAGGATTCAAACCTATCTTAGAGAAGAACACCATAAAATGTGTATTATTTGAGGATGACAGAAGTGGACTTGAAGCTATTGTGTTCTGCAAATAATTTTAGAAGGGACTGGATGATGGATTGAGTGACTACACCCAATTTTAGGCAGCCCCTTGACATGTAAAAGACCAGGTTATAAGTCCCATTTTGAGACACCTGACCTTCCACCTGTATCGTATAGTGTGCCTCAGCTCCTAATACAGGGCTGTCGTAGCGGCCAGGTACCTTAAATCCCTTTGCAAACCCCAGTACGGTTGCTTTAGATGTTTTAGAAAACTGGACTCAGTGAAGAGAGAATTTAATCCTGTGTGTCTGTTTAGGATTCCAGTTCATCAGCCCAAGCAGGGCAAAAGTGTTAAGATCCTTTAAGAACTGATAATTGTATTTATTTACAGAGACTTCAGTAACACAGAGACATTATGTAGTGAACAGAAATACTACTGTGAAACTTGCTGCAGTAAACAAGAGGCACAGAAAAGGTAAGCGAAGAGCAGGCTATTTCACCATGTCACTCCTGGGCTTTGACACACCTCCTCCGTGATATTTGTTGTATTTAGATACCTAGAAGCCTTACACCCCTACTGCATTCTCTGTGGGGGCCAGTGAACCTACAGACAGATTCAAAGCTGTTACGTGTGTCTCAGTGTAGAAGCTACTGCTAGTTGACTACTGTTACTTACAAAGTGCTTTTATGGTGCAAATGTTTACTCATTAAGGAAAGACAGAATAGCTTTGAACTGCTCAGATCTTTATGATGTGCACTCTAATGGTTTCACAGGATGAGGGTAAAAAAACTGCCAATGATTCTTGCCTTACACCTCAAGAGATTCAAGTACATGGAGCAATTGCACAGGTACACTAAGCTGTCTTATCGTGTAGTATTTCCTCTGGAGTTACGTCTCTTCAACACATCTGGTGATGCTGTCAACTTAGATCGGATGTACGACTTGGTAGCTGTTGTTGTTCACTGTGGAAGGTAAGATACTTTCATGTATATCTCGAGCTATTGCCAGACGTTTGCCAAGGGCAGAGGCATGCCTGACAAAATGTGGGGAGAGTGGGAGGGAGGACCTAAACCCTGCTGCTGCACCAACTTGCCTCTGTCTTGCCCAAACCTCTTAGTCACCCTCCCTCATAGTAAATCTGTACTTGTTTAAAAAATACTGCCTCAGGCATCCAAAAGTCACAAGATTGGCTTAAATTAATGGAGCTGTCTCCTTCCTCATCAGCCCACTTAGAGAGCTTGGGAGCCAGGACTCTGTGAGGACCAGATGTTCCTAGCATGTAGGCCCTGCAAGAGATCAGCTTGGTCTCCTGTCAAGGCAATGAAAATGATAACTTTAATAAAGCTTCTCACATATGGGGCATTTTCAAATCTGGAACAAACAGAAAAATCCTTGAGGCTGCAGGAATACTCTTCTCAAAGACCATATGTAACTAAATATTGACAGTTGATATCAAGTAATTTTCCCTCTTAAATTTAGTTTATAATGTTTTTAAAATATTTGCACGAGTTGATGCCTGCCGTGAGCAAATTGTTAAGTGTTCTATAGGTTAAATTGCAAATGGTCATAGCACAGATGAAAACAACACATTTTGCTTTCAGTTGATGAAGTCTTTGCAGCAAGTCAGCAAAAAGGTGGAAGGAGTAAATGTCTACTGTACCACCAGGAGTGGGTTTACTGTGTTCTTCATAACATTTAGTTATAATTCAGTTTGCTTGCATATAGAAATGTGACTTATCAAAATGGACTCAATAGTATCTTCTAATATTTTGAGGTTTGTGGGTTTGTTTTGCTTTCTAGTGGACCGAATCGGGGGCATTATATTACTATTGTGAAAAGTCATGGATTTTGGCTCTTGTTTGATGATGACATTGTAGAGGTCAGTATGCTGAAGGTCATGAGTACAACATTTGTCGTTATGTTCTCTTCTCTGTTTGAGGTTAAAATTCTGATCCAGATCTGGGTATAGATTACGAGGCTGCAAAGCCACAGTTTGGGTGTAATGTGACATTTAACTCAACTCTGTTAGGACATAAAGTTGCAAACAAAATTATTAATCATGTAGTTCTTACTCTGTCAATGTCAGAGGGGGTTGTTTTATTTCAGAGCAACATCAAACGAATATCAGACCTCAAGGGTTTAATTTGGAATGTTTTCTATATCTAATAAAATAAATTCAATTCATTAAAACCAAAAATTTCCAGGAACTATGTTGCAATCCTTGGCGATATCACTTGACAAAATTGGACTGGCTAAAGCTAACATTGCTGTAGAATTGTAATTTTTGAACAACTGGGAAGTTACAAGAAAGTCTGGAGTCTGTAGTTGATCTGGGTTTGTCTGAATGTAAATTAGAGCAGGATCTGGCCCACAGCTATTACAGATTCTGTGTAAGCATTTTGCAGTTCATTCCTAAGCCAAACCTTTATGTCTTTGTGGCACCCTGCCAAAATGCAAGACTTGAGTGTGATTTCCCAGAAGTAAATCCAATGAAGGAAAATAAGCACTGGGACATTGGATGAGGCATGTCTTGAAGAGGGTTTCTGGAAATTTCAGAAAGATGGGGTCACATGGTCATGTATATTTTAACAGTGTTCACTACTGCATTACAAGGAGTCTCTCTGTTATTGGAAAAAGCCTAATTCAGTTAGGTTCACTGAGACAAACATTCCTATTGACTTCCATGAGTGAGACCAGTAGGGCTTAGCCCCTGAACATTACCCTTTCCCTGCTTAAATTGCAAAAAGAATTTGCTACTTGCTGCCCTGAAACAAATAACTGAATTTGTCTTTTGTGTTTCTACATCCGTGTTTTGTATTTCTTCTCCCTAACTGCACATTAATTTTTTTTTTATTTATTTTGCAGAAAATAGACGCTCAAGCTATTGAAGAATTCTATGGTCTGACCTCTGATATATCAAAAAATTCAGAGTCTGGCTATATTTTATTCTATCAGTCAAGAGAGTGACTTGGCAAACTGTGACAATTGCGCGCAATGATGCTGCATGCAAAGGAAGGTGGTGGCCGCCCTTAACTGACTTTTACACAGACCACATCTTACATGGCTGAACAGTGATACGCTCCCTCTCCTATTAAATGGTCTATGTGATACCGACTATAACCGTCCATTTTTGACGTGCAGAACTTTGCTTTGGGGAGGAGGAGTTGTTTGTAGTTTTTAAGTCTGATCAAAGAGTTAATTGCAGTCAATTTTAGTGGAATTTATATGGACTAACAGTTACAGATAATAAGATTTGGATGTCAACTGTTAAACCCAATCCAGCTAGAGTAGTGTTTTCTATGGAAGTGTTCATTGCATTTAGGGCAAAATTCTTTAAAACTTTCTAAATGACTTTGGGGTGTGTTGATTTACAAAGCATTTGTTTAAATACATCCTGACGTATACTTACCCATTTTAAGTGTTAAGAAAAAAAAAATCTGTTTCATGATGATTGCAATTGTGGTTGTATAGGGGATTTTTTTACATGTTACTCTCTGCTGAAAAAAAAAAAAAAGATATTCTTCCAAAATCATTTAAGCTTTGGGTTGTTAAAACTTTCCGTGCATAACCTCAGGCCTAAAATTCACATAGAGGGATTTAAATTACAGTGAAACTAGGTAGTTCTGTATGTCTAGTCACTTTGCTTATCATGAGACAGTACAGATGAGGTGTGATTTCAGAACTTACAGAGCATCTGAATAAGCGAGATGACACATACGACACAGAGATAAACTACGCTTGTAGAGACTGAGCTTATCTTTCTGTTAAAACAATATCATAGGTTGTTTCTTAATTGAGTTTGCAGAGATTGCAACACTGCTTACATGTAACATATCCATCAGGACTGAAATTACACAGTCCATTGAAGTAAGTGTTGTTCATACAATGCATAAGATACGGCTTGATCCTGCAATTTCCTGAATATCTGTAGGTCCCATTTTCACTTCTCAAGACAGAGTCTATTTCTTAGCAACATAACATAATACATAGCAACCATTAGTTTACACACACTGTCATGTATATATCATCTCTAACATTTTGGCCATGTGTGACAGCATTTGGGTCACCACAGAAACAGATAAGGCTCTGAAGTGTCTGATTTTAAAAACATCAAAAGGCTTAGTGCAAAAGGCTTAGTTTGTGATCTTACTGGGTGAATTTGGCTGGCACTAGTCACGCATTGGCTAATAAAATTGCTGCACTCACACACTGAAACTCGGCAAAGAATGAAGGTAGAAGAAAGTGTCAATAGGGTATGAGAAGGCATCGACAGCAAGTTGAGGCGGTGGTGACACTGGGTAACTACCTTGCTGGGTTGGACACATTCACTCCGTTGTAAAATTCTTGAACTTCAGTAGTCAAATTCCTATTCCAATGAAGTCAACAGCAGAAACACTCTTGTTTTCTTCAGGGAACTGACAGTTGGTTCGCGTATTTACAAGGAAATATTCTCATCTCATAAAATTTATAACTTGTATTTCGTTCACTCTCATTAAGTATTTATTAGACACTGTTACTTTTGGTCCTTCTTTTCCTTAAGAAGCCTGCCTATCACTTTATGGCCGACATTCCATTTCAAGAAAAGGCTTTTGAAGTGCGGCTGAATCTTATATTTTGGTCTTCTATAGGAAAGAGAATTTTTTTTTTAATTGTAATCTACTGTGAATGTGAAATGTCTTTTGTTAAGTAATGGTGAAAATGAAGTATTTGCTTCTACTGTAACATCAGTTGAAGTTCAGCTGGATTTATCAATGGTCATTTTGTGAACTAAGGAAATGTAGCACTTTACACTGAATGAGAAACAAAAGTGGACTTTTCATCTACCATTATTTGTGATTTATCGTGTTGTTACACCGATACAAGAAAACAGACGTAGAATGTAACCTTAGAGTACTTAGGTAAGTAACAGTAGTGGTCTACAGAGACCACTCACATGCACGAAGGCTGGTATGCAGGCTCAAGACAAGCATAATTGGGATGCAGCTCTAGTTCTTTTATTGATGTTAGAACGAAATGTTCTGTCTCTAACACAGAAGACAGACATCTTACTGGAGACTTCAGCTGTCACTGAGGCCTGGGAGCTTTTCCACTGAAAAGCTAAACCTGCAAATCACTCTCTAATGGATTTATTTATAAGCATTCAGAATTTCCATATAAAAATATAATAATCACTTGCCTTTTAAAATGAGTAAGGTTTCCTCATTGTGAATGAAGGCACTTTCTAGATCAGCATTAACCAGTGCTGGTCCAAAGGTCTCTACTTCACAGTTTACTGCTGAACATTCTTAGAGTATTCTTCAATTTCAAAACAAGCAACAAAGAAGATATTCGTAACGTATCATTTGAATGCTTAGGGCTCATGTTTATATGAAAAGTAATTTTTCATAAAAATAGTTTTTAAATCAGTTCAATTTTAGGAAATGTTTTCCACATTGCAATTGACTTATTTGAAAATAGATTTTTAAAAAATGTTAATAATATGAATTAATATTTAAATGCTAAAGTTCAGGAAAATAATATTTGGTTTTCTCCAGCTGTAATATAGCTCTAGGTTGTAAAAACATAGAGATAATTGCAGTATGTTATTGAGAGTAAAATTACTAGAATAAGCCTTCTCATAAAGCATGAAAAAACATTTTAAATTCATGATAGCCCATGAAAAGATCACAGCACTGGTATCACACCAGTCCAACGTCAGTGGTCTGACATCAGCTCTGAAAAATTGTGGAACACTCACTGTATGATAACACTAGTTAAACTAAGGAGCATTTTCTTTTGATTAAAAACTATAATTCTATAAATTATTCCCAGTCTAAAACATGCTGAATGTCTTGACAAAAGCTGTCCATCACAGCTGTATGCGTAGTGCCAGCCTAGGCAGCAGAACTTCTATGTCAAATGAAGCACTTTTGCACTGGTTTTGCAGGATTGGGATCCTCACAGGAACAATCATATGATGCAAAGTATTTGAGTTGATTAAATAAAACATAATCCTTTTTTCTCATGTGCTTATGTATGGATTTCCAGTCCCTTATGAAAGAATGGAAAAATATCTAGGACAATAAAAGCTTTTCAGCCAGCAGCTAGAAAACAAAATTGTAGCACAGATGTCTAATAGTATCCTGTGCTTCCCCAAAATAACTATTTTTATGGTGTTGGGTTCTGAGCATATTAGGCCTAATGACACGTTAAGTTTTCTAGTTGTTTCACACATAGCTGCTGAGATGTGTTGTCCATTTATAAATCTTGTTACTGTGTTCCTACTTAGAAAAAAGAGCATTTTTGTCCTGGGCTGTTTTCCCACTGAACCCAATGAAGCACTGCAGTGCTGATGAATCAGTTATCTTAGAGGATGAGCTCAGACCTCAACTTTTATGTTTCACAGAACAGGCTGTCAGGATTTTATGTAATTTCTATTTTGGGAACACGGCAGAGGAAGGCAGAAGAGGGAAGTGATGGAGAAACTGTACCAGTGAAGCAGAACACCCTGTTGAAATGAAGTCCCAAAATTACTCCAGTCAATTTTATTTTAATAATTTACAGTTACCTCAGAGCAGTAGATTACATCCTAAAAGTCTTGTTCCTTTAGCAGTTGGAGTAAAGAAAATAAAGCAGTAGGTGTTTCCTCCACATTAGATTTAATAAAGATATTGAAGACCTAACTAAGCTGAAAACGAAGTTCACGTTACATGGTAGGTCCCAAAGTGCTGCCACAACCTTTTACCTTCAGACATTACATTTCATTCACCCATCTGTTACAGCATCATGTATGTGGGACCTGAGCCGACGAGTTGCAGCTGCCAGAGATTTGGTGCCTCTCAGCAGCAGACCCTTCTTGTTTCGTCTCTTTTTTGCTGCTTGTGGCTGACAAGTGTAAGCAATATCGTACAGCTGAATGTGTACTAGAAATTTTAAGAAGTTTTGGCTGTGTACCTGTTCTTTGCCAGTACCTTTTATCAGAGTTTGTTTTAATTTATTTCTCTTTTGTTGGTCTGTTATTGTATTTGTATAGTAACTTATGTAGTTAATCTTATTAATTTTCTGGTTTAATTTTTATGTACTTTGATTTTTAAAAATGTAATCAACTCAAGCACTTTAAGCAACAATGTCAATCTTGCGAAATTCCAATCAGCTTAACATCTTGCCTTTGTCTTTTTGCTTTTGCAGCTGTTTGCTTGTGATCCAACATCTCTAGTTACAACCCAATTTCCATTTTTAGGCCTGTTGTCCTAGTTGGGTTGTAAATTTGGGAAGCCTGGATTCGTTCATATGTATTTGTTCAAACATAACAGGGATGCAGTATTTACTATGTGGCTACACACAGAGCAGTATGTACCTGACGAGTAGCACTCACGGTGCACATTTCACAGCCTTTTTTGCTCTCTATCTGCTAACCTGCCTGAGAATGACTGTAGTACTTAAATCTGTGGCACCGTTATCGATGACTATAATTTAGAAAAGCTCCACTTCTCATAGGAGAATTCTCTTTTACCAAACACAGAGTTAGCAGTCAGTCAGCTGGTGATACAGGTCTTGCTCTCTTTGCCATTTTATCTGTGCTCTGTACAGTGTCAAGTATGAATAATCTTAAAAGCTGCATTTATTGTTGGCCCTTGAGTGAGCACTAGCAAGGAGAGCAATCTTTTTGCATCTTGTCTCCGCTTGGCCTCATATGAAGAGAAAAGATAATGAAGTAGGATAAACGCTGGTGTAAAAAACCCCACACCATCTATCACAGACACTGGATGTTTCTTAGAGGCCAGTATCTGTGGTATCCATATCAGAAAGTCACTGACTTTCTGTATTGTTAATGCAAGGGTTCTTAGTTTTTTAGCCTTCGTATTCTCTTTGATTGATGGAAAGACCAGGGCTTTTTCCTGTTGCATCAGTTCTGTTGCTGAGGTGTTTCTTCTCAGTTTAACATGGCACTTAATGTTTACATAGCCCTTGGGAAGCCTTGATAGACACCCTTTTGATTTCTTTCCAGTTAACATACATTACTTTAAAGAGATTGCTTGAACCTGTCCACAAGACTTACTCAGATTAACACACTCCTCCTGCATACAAGGTCAAACAACACCTATCAGGAGGTATGTGCTCACCCGATGGG